AAGAGCGTCAATATAATTTTTATTATTGATTAAAATTTATTTAAATTTAATAAATTGTATAAGTCTCACTCATAATATTAATAGGTTTTAGTATTGTTTTTAAAATAACTGCAGCTTTAATATTTAATAAAATTTTAAATAACTGATATTATAAGTTTTTAATATAATATTTTTTTAAATTCTTAATTTGCCACAGTGAACATTACCACTTTTAGGAAAATTATGTGAAAAATGATATATTTAATTACTCTTTCAATTTTTATAATTTCATAAATTTTATCTTCTAGTCTTTATAATAAAAATATTATATTTTAATAATTATATATGTGATTTTTATTTCATTTTAATTCTTAGAGTTTTATAAACTTTGCATTTTTTATAGTAATAAATGACAAAAACTAAAAAAAATAAAAAACACCATATATAAAAATTAAAATAGAACATTTTTAATTATAAAGACTAAAATATAAAATTTATGTAATTACATTAAAAAAAAACTTATATTTATTGTTGATTTAAATATAGGTATGAATATCTTAAATTGCAGTTATTATACAACGGAAGGTGTAATAAATAATAGAGTGTGAGATAAAAGCAATTTGTTAAACAAAAATGGAAACCTGCAATGGAGATACATGAACACACAGTCATCAAAACTCCAAATGCTCAATAAACTAAACCAACAAAAGAAATAAATTTCTCATGAACCCAAACAGATATACATCATGAAACCAGGAAGTGAACAAAGTCAACAAACCCCACATGGTGAAGTGGGGTTTTTCACACACACAAAGATAGAAAAAGCATGAGAAGAGAGGAAGATTGTGTTTTCTTACAGAAAGATGATTGAAGGATGCAGCAACTGAAAGGTATGGTGATGAATATCAGAAATGAGTGTGTTCAATGAAGGGAAGAGTACAAATTATATAGAACATTTCTCACTGCCGTGGCTTGAGATGACTAGTAACACGTGACACTCATTCACACAAGCAAGACAAGGGGTTGCATAAACAAACAAAGATAAAAACTCTGGTTTTCAAAAGAGAGAGAGATTGACGTGCGTTATGCATAAAAAAGCAGAAGGGATACTTAAAGCAATATTGGAAATAATCAATGAATGTTATTAGATAGAGAAAAAAAAGAGTAACACGTACAAAGATATATAATAAAAATAGAGACAATCACTTATATACTTTTAGTGTAAATTTTTTTATACTGACAGTCAATCAGAGTCTTTAATAGTGTCTTTTTTATTTTAATTTAATTAAATGAGTTAATGAAAAGACACTATTAACAATTCTGATTAACTGTCAGTGTAAAAAAAACTTTAAGTGTATAAGTAATTAACTCATAAGAATATATTAAAAATTTATCAAAAGTTGGTCAATATATATATATATATATCAAAATTGATAATTAAAGACTAATAATCTGTCTTTACTATTATTTTAAATCATATAGGAATCAATCTTAAAACTATCAGGACTTCCTATGTTCTAAAATAGACACGTTTGTTAGTTAAATAAATATTTTAAATACCTATTTAAACTACTGTGAAGTTTAATTTGAATAGTGAATTTATGGTGCAAATAAGTTTAAAGTAGCTCGGTAAAAAGTAAGAAAAACTTTTAGATTTTGAAAAGTTCCTGCAAGCATTAAAAGAAATTGACATTTAGTTGGATATATTTTATAATGATACAATACTTTTTAGTAAAAATTACTTTTATTAATACTATATATATAATATATATTAGTATATTTTTTTAAAATGTAGATATAAATTATAGTGATACATAATATATATTATTAAATTTTATTTAAAATTAATATTAAAATTGTATGTAATTATATTATAAATAGATTTATATTTATATATATTGTATTTATAATAATACTTTTTGTTTATAATATTTTTTAAATAAAATAAAGTTAAAGTATCTCAACAAAAAATAAGGAAAACTTTTAATCTTTAAAAAGTGTTTATAAAAAAATTAAAATCTATTATCTCACTCTAAATGTGAGATAATGCATTTCTATTCTTATTAAATTTAAATTTATGTCATAAATTGAATATATGGATTTAATTAATTTTTATGGAGTTAATTAATCATAAACTATTGATATCGATTTTATAAGATAATTATTATAAAAATTAATAAACTTATTATATACAATTTAGTTTGTAATATTGAATAGCAGATATTATACAATAAGTGAATATATTATTTATTCATTATAAATCCTAAAATAAAACTTATTGATTAAGATAGTTTAAAAAAGCTTATTTTAATAAATTTTATTAATAAAACTATTAAAAATAATGTTAAAAAGTTTATGGGGGTTACAAACCATTCTCAAAAGTCTTCCTTCGAACAGAAATTGTAAATGCAACCAATATAAAATATCCGAGATATTGAATGCATTAAAAATTAAGCTCTATATAACTTTTGCTTTT